AAAGATAAAGAAATCACAATTATAATAAGTAGACATTTTTTAGTCACTAGAAGGGTAATAATTGATGTTCAGAAAAGGAATCATACTATGAGAGTGAAAAAATAAGGAATTTACATTTAATATTTTAAAATCAAGAAAGTTTCTCAAAGATCCTAGGGATGATACCTGCTATAGCGTAGATGTGATGGAAGGGTATATGAAAAATCAATTTATAGAGATTTTAGAAAAGAAACCAATAGAGCAAGATTTGATTTAGAAAATTTGTGAAATCTTTAAACAAGAATCAACCCTATTATTAGATGCACTCCCTAGAGTTATTTAAGATATGTTTGAGCCATTAGATGCCTAGGCAAATTTTAAAAATTTAGTGCATTATATAACTGAGGCACCCAAGCTAGAACTTAAGGTTCTCCGAAAACATTTGAAGTAGATTTTTTAAGAGATCTTTAATTTTGTCCATCATCATTTCTTTTGATTTAAGTGAATTACAATAGGCAAAGTTAATGACAGTTTTGAGAAAATTAGCAGATATCAAAAGAATAAGCTCTTATGCATCCATAAGATATTGATGGAAGATAACCATGTACCAAAGGCTCATCCCCAAAGGAGGCTTAACCCAATTATGAAGGATATAGTGAAAAAAGAGGTTGTTAAATGACTGGATGTGGGTATTATAATCATATATATGATAAAGCATGGATAAGCTCAATTCATTGTGTTCATAACAAAGAAGGAATGATTATAATAGAGAATGATTGCCATGAACTTATACCCACTAGGAGTGTTACCAACTGGAGGATCTGTAACAAAGCTACTATAAATGTCAACTTTTTCTTGCCTTTCTTAGATCAAATATTAGATAAACTTGTTCAACACCCTTAAATTTGTTCCCTATATGAGTATTCAAGATATCACCAAATTCTTATAGCAATAAAAGACAAGGATAAGACTACTTTCAATAGTCTTTATGGAATTATTATGTTTATGAGATCCTTTTGGACTAAGAAACACCCTGCCACATTTTAAAGATGTCTAATATTCATATTTTTAATCTTATTGAAAAGAAGAGTGGCATTCTTTGCTAGATGAACAACACTCATACTGTCACTATGAAGCTTTTCATTCTCTTGCTCCATATCCAATTCCACATAAAGCTCTACAGCCAAATCATCTATTTCCTAGCCTCAGTGATAGCAATATATTCGACTTCTGTAGTTGAAAGTGCAATAATCTTCTACAACTAGAAACCCAAAAACTAACGTGTTCTCTAAAGTGAAGATATGCCCTGTTGTAATTCTTCTATCATCGATATCCACTACCAGAGCTAAATTTACATATCCCTGTAGACCAATCGCTGCACTTCCAAAATAATATACCTTGTTAATGGTTCTCTCAAGTATCTGAAATCCACTTCACCGCATCCCAATGATACTTGTATGGATTACAACATGAACTTGTTGATCACTCTCACTACATATACAATATTTAATTTTATGTGGGTCATTGCATACATCAAACATCCAGCAGCTGAAGCACAAGGAGTTCTTCCCATCTTTGTTTGCTTTGCTTCAAACTTAGGGGAAATTTCCTAAGATAGCTTGAAGTGACTACTTGCAAATTAATATTGTCTCTCAAGTTGAACCTTTATAGGACTTTCTCAACATACTATGTTCGTACCTGCACTCATGTCTCTACTAATTCATACCGAAGATCTTTTAATTGAACATAAATCTTGTATCTCAAACTTTCTTGATAATTGTCCATTCAAGCCCCTGATTTTCTCGATATACATTTTTTGCAATCAACATATCATCCACGTACAAAATAGGTAAGATATAAAAATTACCAAAAAAAATTTTATGAAGCAACGATGGTTTGTCTGGTACTTCCTGTACCCACTGTATGACATGAACTTATCAGTTCTCCTATACCACTGTCTTGGGGCCAGTTTTAAACCATAAAGGTTCTTCAACCTGAGCCAATGTCTTCTTTCCTTGGAACCTCAGAGTCTTGCAGTTGCACTATATATAGTTCCTCCTCCAAATCACCATATAAAAAGGTTGTATTTACATCTATCTGCTCCAAATGTTGAATTTTCTCTGCTATCAAGATCAACACAACTCTAACAATTATCATCTTCACTCTAAAAAAAAATATCTCATTATAGCTCACTGCTTTCTGTTGAAACCCCTTCACAATAAGTCTTGCTTTGTAGCACCGTTACCACCCAACTCTTCCTTTAACCAATAGACTCACTTATTGTGCAATGCCCTTTTTTCATCTGTTAATTTTGTCAAATTACAAGTCTAATTTGACCTTAATAATTATCTTGTCATTCATGACAAACTCTACCTCCTTTAAATCTTCAACTTGAATGGTTTATTCATAGCACATTAGTTCCCGATATTAGTTAACTAAAGATAGTATAATGAAGGAGAGTACCTCTGTATTGATTGTGTCACTCTGCTGAACCTCCTAACTTTGGTAGAAAGTGTTTGAGAAACTTCTTGTGTTTCATCAGATTGAGCATATATCATTTCTCATTTTCTTGATTATTATTATCTTTTACCTCAACAAAATACAACCTTGGCTGAAATTGTCTCGTTGGCTCTCGTCGGCACACCGGTTAATAATATACACATCGCAATTATCTAGAGTAGAAAGACCCTTACCTGCCCCTGGTCAAAATTATACCTTCAACAAAGCGGTTAGTAATGTAAACATTACAACTATCTGGGGAAGTAAGCCCTGTTCTACCAGCCTCTGGCCAATATTATCTTGTCGGCATAACGGTTAGTAAACTAGCCATCACAATTGTCTGAGATTGTAAAAAAATCTACACATGTGGGTACATTGGCGTGCCCTGCCTATACCATTAGGAGGTGAAATCCTCCGTTGAACAAACACATGCAAGCATGCACATATAAGTTATTTCATTCTTAATACATACATTATTCTGAGACATCTTTATGCATCTACTAACATCTAACATGTATATTTATTTTTTATTTTATTGTATAACTATTCATCAGGCATAACTTTCACATCATTCATATATCTAGCTCATGCATATCTCTTACTTACATATGTCTCATTCATATCTTTTACTTATATATGCATATCTTTCCTATATATTTATCTTATATAAAATGTTTATTTAAACATCCATCATCTCATCATATCTTTCATGCATACACATCTTTTCCTATTATGCTTATCATACATTACTGTTATATCAATATGAATGATCTGATTAAATTATGACAAACATGAAGTCAAACATACAATCTGAAATTAAAAAAAAATTACAAAAATTTAAAAATATAATTACTCACATCAGTTGTCATGCTAAACTCTTCATCTTCGACGGTTAGCTGGATGTTGCGGTGACTTTTACATTGAGATTAGTAACCTATACAACATAATACTAAAATTTAAAACACAAGTAATTGTAGTTAATCAAATTAATCTTCTTAACTTATGATTAATTTACCTAAAATTTATAGGGTCGCTTTACAGTGAAAGTCCATGCTCTCACCTCGAGTCTATCGCCCCAGTAAACAGCCTAGAATTTGCAATTAATTTCAGATTTAAAAATATCTTGGTTCATAAAGTAATTTAACCAAAAACATAAATAATTTACTTAAACATACCTTAAACGTCTTTCTTGACGACCAATCCTTCTCCAAAGCTATCAAATTTACTTTCTATCACCTCCAACCACACTACCCTATGCTAATATCATACTAGAACTATTATGGAAGCTCGCAAAAGACTTTTGACACTTCCGCCACACAATCGACCCCTCTGACGGCTGCCTAAAAAGAAAAGACATTGAAAACGAGACAAAACTCAAAATGAAAGTGTAAGGAAGAAAAGGGTTGCCTCAAATGTGGTGAAAAAAAGATTTGCACTTACAAAAATTACCCCTGAGCCCTAAACCGCCTCCTGCGGCTTCCTCTGTGCATGCGACCAGTCTTCTACCTGCGCCTACACGGGCCCTTGCATTGTAGCAAGGGTCACAGCCCCTTCTGCTACTGCAATGCACGAACCAAATAGGGAGGGGAGTTTGGGAGAGCAAAATAGGGAGAGGGAAGAATTTTTTAAGCTCCCGTCTGCCTTATTCGACGAGCAAAGGAATAAAAGACAAAGGAATGTCGATTAGCTACAGTGAAGCCGTGGGATTAACGTAGGATTAGGAATATATTAACTTTAATTAATTTAATAAGACTTATAACGTTTAAATTTTATATCTCTCAATCTATTCATAATTAATATATAATGTTTTATATCAAATTTCTCGATTTAACATGTAGAATTTTATAAAATTTACTCGACTGAAATCTGAGAGGTGCAAAAATTGAGATACATTTTAAGTTGAAATTTATCAAATTTCACAAAAATTGGTTATTACACAGCATCATCTCCTCGTTGGGAACCAACACTCTTGGCTCTCCACTCTCTCGTTTGACTCTACCCCAACTGACATGTGCCTTGCTTTGTAGGTGTGCAATGCTTTGTATGTATACATACTATCAAGTCCTTTGCCATCATCAACACAAGGCCAGCTACTCTATCTCACAAAGCTACTCTCTATTTTTTTATGTTAACAATCACAACAGTATCCATTTCTAGGTAAGACCTCCACTGGCATAAGTGAAGCCCCTTCCAATCTCCCGGCATGAAGCAGTCTTTGGAGTAATTGTGAACATCTTTTTGATGGTTTCTTCATTTCTCTCTTTCTCATATTTCCTTCTCGCCCTGCCTTTCCTATCTGTTTCTCGTTGTGCCAACCATCACCGTTTCTTGTCGTTCCACTTCTTACCATCTTCAGAATACATTTAACCAAATAAAATAAAGCACTAGTTTAATTTATATTGCAACCAGCCAAACAACTTGAATTAAGCATAATCTAATGTTTCTACATGCTGTATTATAAAAATACAGAGTTTAAAATACATGCAATAAAACATCCCCTAAAGAAAATAGACATCACTGACCTCAAATGAACTGCAATGAAACGTGAGCTCATCTTTCGCATTTTCTTCACCAGTTTTTGACCAAGCACCCGTATAGGTTTTGTAAACCTTAGAGCATGAAAGTTGACAAAGCAACGTAACTTTTGAAGGTTATCATCAAGCTCATTGGTCAACCGATAATCAAACTTTGTTAATTGCACAACCTACAAGATATGATCATGCAAAACATGTCAAACTTCGTTTAAAGCAAAATAGATTTAAGAAAAAATTATACAAGGTATCCAAAGAGAAGCAAGGTACTAAAAAAAAAAGTCACATGGTGTGATACCAAATTTTTTTAAGAAAATATATAACTACCAAAATTAATTATATCAAAAATTTCAATTTTTTTGAATTTCATTAAAAATCAATTCATTCTGTTGTACTCTTCAAATCGACCATTTTGGTATATAAAATTATAAGCTTAAATGCAATGATGAAAAATTCTTAAATTAGTTCTCATTTTTATTAAATTTTCTAAATTTTGAATCAAATTTACTGTTCTCGTACAGCTAAGACTGGAATTCCGATTTTTCCACTTATCCTAACATGCAATGGCTGATTTAAAAATAAATTGTGGAGATTTGCGTTAGGTATAAACTATATACATATAGATGAATTAAAACATTACTTACACCTAATAGCCATCCCGCTACCGTCCATTTCAAGAAATCAAGAGGCAAAACCGAGAGCAGCTTAAAGAAATAAGAGGAGAAATAGAAGAAGAAGAAGAAGAAGAAGAAGAAAGAAGGGAAGGGAAAGGAAGAAAGAAGAGAGAAAAGAAGTGGAGGAAAGGAAGAGAACAAGGAAAGAAAGAAAGAGAAGTGGGGAATGTAGGAAATTAGGCTTCCTTTTCAAGTACGATTTGTTTTTTTTAGTATTTTCTTTAGAAATCGATTTCTGATTAGAGTTGTAGGCTCTAAGCCTGTATGAGGAGTCCTTGTGAAATTGTTTATATAAGAAATATTTCGGGGAGATCTTTCCGTTGGGTTAAATCATTAAGGGTTGTAAGATTCACAAATTCTAATAAAATAAATAATTCATTTCAAATCATTTGCAAATTTTATTATCTGTATAATAGATTAATGTTTGAACTGCACAGTAAAGAGTTCATGAGTAAAGAACCAAAACAACAATTTAGTTGAAGCAAGCTTGAAAGTAAAATTTGATTTTATAAATATATTTTTAGTTGATGATAATGTCCAAAAAACTAGTACATGTAAGTTACCTATTCACATATACAGTTATTTAATATATTATGACATGAATCACATATTTTTTTAAATAATTAATTATGAATATGGTGAAGCATAAAAGATGTCATGTTATAAGAAATAGGTTGACAGTTATATGTTTATATACCTACGCAATTAGGGGCAACAGGTTCTCCTATAGAGGTAAAAGGTTCTCCTATAGAGGCAAAAGGGTCCTCAAAGAAGTTCAACAGTGATAATGTTGAGTTTCACCCAAGCTCTATGAACTTTATGATGCAGCCTTTAGGTCGTGTTACGATAGCCAACAACATAGAATATTATACATAACACATTTTAAAGATAAAATGAAATACAAGATAACATAAAATGATCAAGTAAATAATAATTTGATGCATTTAAATTACTTATACTTTTTTAGTCACGTTTGTTAATGATTAGCATGTATGTAATTTAGTATTTTTAAATATTCGAGATTTATAATAAATTTGCTTATTTTGCAAAGCCTCTTAGCTTATTAGATTATTATAATTGTTTGTACAGAAAAAGGAAATAAAAAAAGACGAGACTGATAAGAATCATAGTCATTCTGTGATCATATTTTGATGGACAGTTATTATAAGATAAAGAACTTATGAAGTAATTTCACAGATAAATTTTATGTTTCATATTAAAGAATTTTGATGAGTTTTAAATGTTCTGTAGATTTATTTTTTAATGATATATTTTGGTCTGCTTTCATTTAAATTGAAATATTTGAGTATACCGAAATTAAGTTATGTTTGATAAATGTGTAATGTATTATTTCGAGTGAATTATGTGATTGAGTGTATCTCGTACCTATCCTAGTGAATCCCTATGAGAATGGTTGTTGAAGGTGTATTTAGTCGACTGACCACAGCAAATTAAGGACTGTTAAGAAGATGCCATATGCAGCATTCAAAATCTAATAGCCCCATGGGTGCCCAATGCCAACATCAGTAACAACGCACTAAATTCTAATTTGGATTAAAACTAAAGACACCTTTTGGCAGAAGGTATTGATAATACTGTGACACAAAAAGCTTATAAATAGATGCTGCATGGCTCAACAAGAGATCTGACAGAAAAACAGACAAATCAAATCCTCAATTATGGCCTACAATGATCAACCTTACAAAAATTTAGAAAAAATTGTTCTGAAGACCAAGAAAACTAACAAAGTGGGGCTAGAAGTAGCAAAAGACAGGCATTGATTTTACAAGTTGAAAATGATGCAGCCCGACCTAAGAAGCATATATCTTATGGCTGCTAGTTGCCAACTTTCATACTCGGAAAGCTGGATCTTAGCACAAGTAGCAGAACAATACAGAACCAGCTAAGCAACTCATTCCACTTTAAGAATCAGATTATCAGAAAATTAAAAAATAAGTTCAAACTGAAATATTTTTCAAATAAATTGTACAAGCTCAATTGCCCACTTACATTCCTGCGCAACAGAATTGGCAAGACTTGGTCAAGATAATATTCTGGGGTTGATCTCCTCGGAACCCGCATACTGTAGGGAGGTTTCTCCATTGATCTCATTACTTTATCTGGAACCCTTCTAACAACAATGACATCTTTTGCAAGAGACGAAATGAACCAATTGACATCAAAAATGTTGGCAAAGTCACTGTAAGTAATATTTTCATTTTAAAAAATGTATTTGATGCTACATATAAAATGGTTAGAATATTCTTATTAAAAATCCCATGCAGAATTAAAACCAGTTGTCTCAAGAACTCACTTCAAAATGCTTACCTCTCATCTTTCCAGAATGAATTATGATCTAATTCTGGTATAACAAGTGTTGCATTTAGAATACGAGCAACAACAACAGCATCTGTAATCTGAATGTACAGGAAGGTTGGTACAATGAGATAATTTCATATGCTGCTTGCGGACTGTAATTGATGAACATCAAGGAAGAATTCAAAGAACTATACTTAAAAGTGCATGATGTTAGTCGACAGAACGTTAAAGCAAGAATCATTTAAGAATCACAACTTTCAAAATTTCTGGTAAATCAACATCATTTTATAATAAAAGGGGGAGGCGGTTACATTTACCACCAGTGCACCTTGAAAATAAGTTTGACCTCATCTATTTTAGATAAAATTATAACCATTAACTTATTCTTGCAAAGTTAGATGTAAATGTTTAAATATGTTTAAACTATTATAAATATAAGTTTTATGAAATAGAATGACTCTTTAGTGTTTTGAATTTTATTTTATATATGAAATGAAACTGTTAAGTTTTGAGAATAATATTCAGCTCTAGGGGTGTACGGCAAGTAGAAATAGTTTCGGAATGATTGGAAAATGTTGATGTGGAAGAATTTTTTGGAAGTCCCGCCGTCATCGCTGATTCGTAAGACATCCTTAGAATCGAAAAAACACTACAATCAGAATCGCACAAGTTGTGGAGAATTCCTTTACGTTGAGATCTCGATCTTTATTTTCGATCAAGAACTGTGTAAAACTCCTGTAGGTCGCAATCCATTCACTTTCCTAAGTAAGAAGCACGAAACTCCTTTACGATACTATCTCAATCGTTGCTTTCGATCAAGAATGGCACGAAACTCCTTTACTTTCGTGCACAAGTTTGACACTAATGTCGACTACAAAATAGGAACAACAACTTTCAAGGACAAAAAAACAACAGAGTGCTATCGAGACCCTTCTTCGAACATGCTGTCGAAATGGAAAAACACATGCGAAGGTAGTGTCTTCGAAGGAGATGCAAGAAGATAGAAGTAGTGGTGCATGGCTAGGGCAGCCGAAGAACTTCACGCAAGCGAATTGTCGCACTCACTGGTATCAGGTAGAATCGAAGCAAGGAAAAATCACTCGCAACAGCGAAAAACCCAGACGACCTAGCAGATGAAGCAGGAAAGGCTGACTTTGATCGAGACCACTCAAATTAAAAGGAGGACGCAAGTACTAGGGCATTACCATGCTAATATGCTCGAAGACGAAGCATAAATGCACAATCGGCTTCGACACAAACGTTGGTTAGGGCACTTTGGCGTCTGTGATATCATATGAATTTTGGATAATTTAAAAATATTAGTCCTTTTCAATTTTTTAAGAAACAATTACAAGATAAATAGAGAGGGATGGCTCCCACATTAAGAAAGACATAAAATCAACCATAACTCCATCGATAAAAGAAGGAAAGAAGAATTATAACATACAAATAATTATATATTCAAAATATAGAAATTACTAAACTAGAAGATACGAAAAAATATTCTTAAAATTTCAACAATAGGTAATGTCTAATAAAGAAAAAACAAAATACAATAATATATTGTAGAGAAAAAAAAATCAATTCCTTCCTAATAAAGCATACAGGTCAACTACTTCCAACAAAATTTATAGTGTATCAATCCAATTAAAGTATATAAGATTTTTTTTTTTTGAAAAACGTCAAAGTGCTAATATATTAAAAATATGTTGTATGAGTGGGCCCAAACAAATTGGTGAGTTGCGTGTCACTACCCGAAGTAACCAATGTATCATTTATTAGACTCCTGAGCTCAAGTAGGTCACCATTTTTCTTCTTCTTCCTGGATGTGTAAACTTGTCATTCTTCGTCCGAAAACTGAATCATCTCATCAGTGTGTTGGTCAACAGATTGTCAGGCATGTATAAGCCGATGAATCCCTTGCGCCTGACTAACAGTAACGATTTGCTCATTCATATGAGATGGTAGATCCGCGTACATACATGCATACATACATATGTATATATGTATGTGTATATATATATATATGTATATATATGTGTCTATATATATATGTCTATATATATATATATATCTATATATATATATGTGTGTGTGTGTGTAAGACGTCCTCTTGTAGACGTCGCTCACTCGCGTCGTATCTCCTCACTCGCAATTGACGACGCTCGCTCGCAGCTCCTCGTTAGCTATCGCGACTTGCGTCGTCTCTCTCGTACTCGACGACGCCTCTGTCGCCCTGCTCGACAGACAATTTCCCTGAAGTTTGCTCGCCTTTTTCTAGTGACTCGCCTAGTCGCTCTGGAGATGGTCTCGACGATTCGTTCTTATGTCACTGCACTTGCCGGCGACTTTACTATTCTTACTCGTGCTCATCTTTCAGAATCAGAGTCTGGTTTTCGTATTGGCAAATTCTACAATGTTCCACAATCTTTCCACGAGGCACTTAAAGATGGTGGTGATCACGCTTTCATTAAAAACTTTGGTAAAAAAATGGGAAGTCTGCTTTATTCTCTCTGAGGTTGAAACAAGTACTCTCGCGCCTTATTAGCGTTTTGCTCTAGTGGGCAAATTTCTTTGTGGTCACCCAAAACTTGAGATCATTCTGAAAGATTTTGATACTATGAAGTTACTGGGCAGTTGGAATATTGGCTTACTAGACGGTCGACATATACTTATTCAGCTATTTCACGATGTCGATTACACTCATATTTTTTCTCGAAAAGTTATCAAGATCGACAACCGCTTTATGAAAATTCTGAAGTGGACTGTCGATTTTGATCTAAAAGCGGAGTTCCCTATCATTCCTGTATGGATAAAATTTCTGAGGTTAAAATTATATTTGTTCAACTTGGAAATTCTCTAATCCTTAGCAACTGCTTATAGTAAGTCTCTCAAGGTTGATAGTCTTACACTCGTTGTCACCAGACTCTCTGTGGTTTGTGTGTTAGTTGAGAGAGATATCACTCAACCCGCTCCAGATGAGGTATGAATTGGAAGAATTGGAACCACTCACAATCACAACGGCTATCGGCAAAAATTTGAAATAGAACCACACCCTCCTTATTTCTCTCATTATAGTATGTTTGGTCACAATTCTAATATTTTTTATCGCATGCATCCTCATCTAAGGTTGGATATCGCTAAAGATCAGCCACCTATCATCCCTGCTGAGAAGGTGTAACCCATCCAACACAGTAGTTCCTAATGAAGAACACCATACTACGTACAAATCCAAACGTGCTTATACTACTCATTGTTATTGAAGAAGACTCACATGTCAAGACACGCGAGTGCTTCTTTGATCCAATAAAAGATCAATTGGTACAACAAGTAGTTGTTTATAATGTTCAACAACCTACACATGAATGGCACACTTAAAACCAATCCACTGATCAGGTGAGCCGATTTTCGGATGAGGAATGACAAGTCTATTCCAGGAGGACGAAGAAGAATAAAATCCAACACGGGCTCGGGAACCTATTGGATGATACACTGGTTACTACTGGAAATGACACTCATCTTACCAATTTATTAGCTAACTCCTTTCCTAAAACTAGAGGCAAAGGCAAGGCAAAATTGGGAAGTTCTTAACTTTTTGTTTTCCAGCTACCTGATGTTACGTATTTTGACACTTTTAGTTTTTTTTCTTTAGGACTTTCATGTATTTTTCTGCATTTTCTCTTTTTGGATCCATTTGTATGTGGTGTCCATCGGGTAGGCAGGGTGACATTCTTGGGTTCTCTCACATAATATATTTATATCCCTCTTTCATTTTAATATATTAGCCTTTGGGTTTTCTCAATATATATATATATATATATATATATATATATATATATATATAATCAATGTTTTCTTTTTCGATTACAGCTCTGTTAGGGTTTGCGATTCAATGGCGACGCAGGTAAGCGTCTCTCCATGGCTTGTTCTTACGCCGGCGTGACCGCCTGCGGCGTTTTAAACTTCCCTTCTGCCTTTCGCGATTCACTCACGCTCGGTGATGAGTCTTCTTTCATTCGACGACCGGGCCGGAAAGGGGGTAAGCTAGCTCTCTTCCTCTTCAACGCTGAAAACGTCGATCTCGCCTCTTCTTGTCGCCTCTATCTCGTAGGAAAATTCTTGTATGGGCATCCTAAAATGGAATTCCTTCGAAAACATTTCAAGCTGATGAAGCTTTCTGGAGATTGGAAGATAGGACCCCTGGATGGAAGGCATATTTTAATTCAGTTGCCCAATGAGGAGGACTATACGCGTCTGTTTGCTAAGAGGTTAGTGTGGTTTGAGGATTGTGCTACAAAAATATTGAAATGGTCAGCCAACTTCGATCCCAAAGTTGAGGCTCTGATTATCCCTGTTTGGCTTCGTTTCCAGGTTTGAAAGTCCATTTTTTAACCATGAAATTCTATTCTCCTTGGCAGCTATGTTCAGTAGACCCCTTAAATTTGATGTCCCACTTATAATCTCTCGAGACCGTCTATGGCTAGGGTTTTAAATGAAAGGGATGTCACCTTACCTCCACCTGATGAAGTTTGGATTGGTTTGACTCACAATGGTTAGTGACAATAGGCTTTATTAGAACAGCATCCCTCTTACTGTACTCATTGTCGAATGTTTGGCCACGGTCCGGATCAATGCTTTCGTTTACATCCTGAGTTGAGGAAAGGGGGAGGTATGAATCAACCACATGTTGGGCAGGCGCCTCTGCCTCCTGTGGAGAATAATCTGGATGCTCCGGTAGCTGCTATTGCCGAGACCTCTCAACCACCTATACACCCTGTTTCGGGTCAGCACG